ATTTCAGAAGATATAATTTTTAATTATTAATCAGGACATGATGTGATAAATCATGTAAATCCTATGAACCAAGATTTGGGTTGTAACCAAGGGTCAAACGTAACAGATGCATATTTATCTCAATATCAGAGTTGCCGTTTGTTTCTCTCTTATCTAATGTGGGGATACACCAAACACTCAAACCGCTTGTAGAAAGTGTAAATTTATTTTCATGTGTTTCCTAAAATTATACATTTCAAATAAACAATTCAAAACTAGACTGTAAATACATGTATTCCTACAGATAAAAATACTATGCATTTGTTTATTCAGATTACAAACCTCACAAGAAACCTATTGACGCAAGCGTCAAAAATCGTCCTCAAACCAATTTATCGGTCCTTTCAAGAACAAATTAGAAAAGAAATGAAAAATGAGATTACAAACAGCAATCAAGCACAAAAAATTCCATTAAAACTGAAATGCTTGATCTATTATTAAAATATCTTATATTTATCCCTGTGACATAAAACATTTGATGGAACATTGCAGGATTTTCTTAAATACATAATACAGGTACATTGCATAGTAATCTGAGTCGCCACACTTAGTTTGATACAGGCAAATTCTGGTGGAAGCTTTTACAATTAAATATAAAACTAAATTTAAACTTATCTGTAACTAGAGATAGTTTTTACTTTTATAAAAGAAGCAATTGATAAGTTGGGCTCCTCGATTACTCTCCGCGGATGTTAAAACCTCCCAAACTCCCTCTAGATCCGTACACCTGATCATCTGAAAATATTAAATGTTACTCAACTATGTTATTTTAGTAATAGATATACAAGTATTTTGTGGGTTCGTTAAAATCGTTAAAAATAATATAAAGGATACACATATTTTTGTTACAAAACAACTTAAACTCTGCACTTATCAGTTCAGGAAATGCAACAAAAACTAAGAGGAAATAAATAATATTAAATAAATTATTCATAGATTTCATAGTACTTGAATTAAAAAGGCATTATATAAATGAGGCTTTCGAAAAATGAATAACATATTCATCTAAATTGTATTACATAAATGTAAATGGCTGTTAGTTGTCGATATGTTTTCTGTGCTCTGATATGTGCATTTCATGTTTTAAGAACATTTTTGACAGAAGAAACATTAACAAGTTTTTTACTATTTCAGTAGAATCAGAAAAGTATTCATTTGATGTTGCTTGTCATCTCTCTCTCTCTCTCTCTCTCTCTCTCTCTCTCTCTCTCTCTTGAACCCATTCTTTTCAATATATTCCTATAATTGACATGAGCAAAGGTTGTTCCAAAACGTCGAAGACAGGGAAAGCAATATAGTTTCTCTTTCCTAAATAAAATTCTTTTTTGTCAAAGTATAAGCAACATTTAATGATCATGGGCTTACGCGGCTTACGTATGCAATATCTGCGACACTCGTATATTGAGCTTCTCGATAATTTATTTTAAGTTAAAACACTTCTGACTCAGTACATTTACACGGACTACAGACCTTTTTTCCGTATCTGAAGTGAAAAACCACATTTCAGACAATGTTATTACATGTACATCCCCGTGCTCCGCTAACTCATTTGACGACGTGATTTGCAGCAAACGGAATTCCAACAATGCTATAAACATTATGACAATCCTCCCCTCTTACGATATCTAGGTTGAAATTTGACGTATTAATAAGGGCTTAATTCTGTTTTCACTGAAATAAATTTACGTCTGTAGTTTTACATATTACTACAGAAACGGATGCAATTGGAATTGAAATATGCGTTAAATATTACGGATTTAGATTTGTTCCTGCGCCCACAGACCATATACCGAACTTTCCATAAATTGTTAAAAATATTATCATGAAAGATATATATTTCACAATTCACTATTTGAAAAGAACATGAAACAAATTATGGTCTTGCAAAATTTGATGAGTATGTTGTTTCAATGTTCGCAACGCTAAAACATTGTCTAGGACTTTTTCGAACAACCCTTGTATGCGTATTTTTAACGTCCTCATATTCAGATGCCACCACTTCCCGGTGGGGGCTACAAATTAAAACTACTTATAGTAATCACTTCTAGCATTTTGTTGATGAGGGTTCTATCTTTTGTCTGCTAATACTGCGACAAAGAATCTTGGTTAATACTTTATCTTCAGCATTGGGACTCGAACAATCTCCTAATTTTTAACATATTTCTTTAGAATGCAAGGCTGGATTTCTTGGTCCTCACTGTCTGCATCCTTGTCGATATCCTCAGTATGGGAAGGGTTGTCAGATGTCTTGTAACTGTGAAATGGAGAATTGCAGTTCCATCACAGGATGTGAAGGCATATATATTTTTAATGATTCAATGCAAATATCCTTCAATATGTATTGGTATATTATATTCATATGTAAACTATATAATCATTTTGTTTTGTATATTTATGAATATAAATAAATGTGCAAAAAATATATATTCTTAGTAGAAAAAAAGAAATATTTTCGTCTTTTAATGTATTTGAGCATTGGATCAAGTACAAAATAAAACGAACATAGTCCCATCCTCATAACTTACGGTAAATCGGTTATGTTATCATAATATTTTTGAAAGACCATACATATTTATATACAATTATATCATTTATATTCACATATAAAAATATATGTACAAAACAATAAATGCAAATTACTTTCTAGTGATTATTCACAAACATGTTTATCAAAATGTTTTAGTATAATAAAACCCATGAATACAAAATAACCATACAACGTGTAACGTATTTTACTTAATTTCTACATGTTGACAGGTCGACAGGTTGTCAGGTTGACATATTTTCTCTAATTCAATGTATATTTATTTATATATATAATAGTGTTGTGATTCGTATGGACTAAACCTAAATAGTGGTCAGGGTTTGACACATAGTACACGAGCCGGAGGATTCACGGTGCAGTGATCAAACCCCTCATCGGTCTAACTGTTGTGTGCTTTCCAATTAGTTGAATAAATTGTGCATCATGACTATGATTAATGTTTATAATTAATGTCAGAATAGGTCCTCAGTATCCCCTTGCTTGTCTTTAAAGGCGACTTAATGGGACGGTCCTTCGGATGAGACCGTATAAACCAAGGCCCGGTGTCACAGCAGGTGTGGCACGATAAAGATCCCTTCCGGCTCAAAGGCCATAAGTGCCGAGCATATGCCTAACTTTACAGCCCTTCACCGGTAAAGGTGACGTCTCCATTTCAGTGAAATATTCTAGAGAGGGACGTTAAACAGTATAATCAGTCAATCAATCAATCCACTACTTGGAATGCAACTCTTCTAGTTTATATCTCTTTCATCCCAAATACCCATGTGTCTTATTATGAAAATGCATTGCATCACCATTCTTCTTTACCATTTTTGTTTGCGCGTTTTGATAATTTCATTTCCTTCAGACACTCTCTACATTTCTACTGTTCGCAAATAAGTCAACATTTTTTTATGATCAGATACAATTGAATAGAATTAAAACAATTTCGGTGCTGCATTGCTTGTAGACATTTATGTAATGGCATTGAAAGTTGTTCTGTTAAAAGATGAATAAATGGTGCCAACTTAGTGCATGCATTACTAACCAACATTATGTTTTTTAACGTGAGCAACAAAAACTTATCATCGCAACATGAAACTGTTATAGAGCCCTCGTCATTAATCATTGCCATGAAAACAACGTTTGATGAGAATGATGTTTTTAAATAAATACAAGAAGACTTTTAATATCAAAATGCCTTTCCACTATGTTCAGTGTCTTGAACGCTTTGAGAAATCAACAAATTGTTCCAAATTTCTTGTTGTATCGAGCATTATCTCACTTACTGCTTTGAACTGCGGAGCTAAGACAGAAATTTCGACAGGAGCCGGGGAATTTCACAACTCCCTTAATGAATACTTGATAGCAAAATGTGACCCAGGAGGTATGTTCATTACTGAATTTTAACAATATTAACATAATTTAAATTTACCCCCCCCCCCAAAAAAAAATAAATTGAAAAAGCTACTACAAATCCTCATAATTTTCTTCTTTTATTAAGGTATCATTCATCGAATTAAAATCTTACAATTTATCATTTAAAAAAATCAACATAACCAAAAAAAGATTAGAAAAATTACTTTCAACGAATTTACAAAATTAACATGCTATAACATATACAATATGTATATATTATGCTGAGAAATTTATTTGCAAGTACTCTGACAAAACAGATTGTTTTGTGTGAATACAATTACATGTAAATCAAATTTACAAAAATTGATCCCTTAAAATGCAATTCTTTGATGAACTCAATGCACAAAAGATTCAAGGCTGATACTGGTGTGCAATGGCGATATTAAGACTTAATTTTCAATATCAAGGGTATCGACATGTGAATTTCAATAACTCATTAATTATCAGTCAAAATCACCAGTAACTTGTTGATTGAAGAAAATTTAAATGTTTAATGACAATACTGGAGATATATTAGAAATAATAGTTCTAATTTACTTCAAAAGCTTACATTGCATTTCCTTCTCTTTTCAGTAAAGATAAACAAATTCTGCACAGATCAGTTCAGGAAATGCAACAAAGACTTTGTTATCAGGAAATATTATCTAGCGGGAAATAAATAACCTTTTAATAATTTTTTGATCTTATCATACTTGCATCATATGTCATTATATGCAGTTCTAAAAAAAATATTAATATAAATCTATCATGCGTGCAGAAAAGAAACGTAAATGGCTGTAAATTTTCGGGTTCTATTCTGTGCTCTGATGTGTACAGTTCGGGTTCTCAAGACATGTTTGACAAAAGAAATATTTACCAGGTATACAATTTTAATTTCAGTAGTATTAAAAAGTATTTTCCTCTCTCTCTCTCTCTCTCTCTCTCTCTCTCTCTCTCTCTCTCTCTCTCTCTCTCTATTTTTTTTGTAATAGTATATATAATATATTATCGTTATACATGTAACAAGCCTTTAAATTTAAGCACCGGAGAAGCATGCAAAGAGTGGAATCCAACGGATAACGTGTGTTCAGGTAAGAACAATATTGCCACTACCAAGGATTTATAGTTATATAAGTAACTTTGACTGCAAGCTTTCTATTAAAGGAAGACATATGTCGTTCTACGTTAAAGCAGTGTTACGTGACGTTTGATTTTACCTGTTGACTTTTGCAACTGTGATATAGGCATGACATTTATAATAATCTATAACGTACACAATTTACAAAAAGAGAATTTATTCATCATTAATTAGAGTTTGTTAATATTAGAATTCTGTTGTTTTGGTTGATAATTCATAGCAATTTCAGTTGTGAAGAAATACCTCGATGATATGCTGAATTACAAAAAGATAAGATAAAATTCAGCAAAGAAAGTGGCTTACATCAGGAAAATATGTTTAATTTTATGTTTACATGTACAATTAATTGTATTTTCTGGATCAAACTATGAAAAACGAATGAAATGTACATGTACTTATATTTACTAATTGATTTATAGTACAAGTAGATTTTATTGTATAAAGTCATTCCTAGGTTCTAATAGGTGTTGGTTGTTGACGGGGAAGGGGGCGAGAATGATTAGAATGAAGAAGAAATGAATTAATCTGTTTAGATTGTTTCTGATCAAAACAAAATACTCGTTTTTCGCAAAATACATGTAATTTAATATTCAGCTGTTTGTCAGTGTTAACTTACCTTTGTCTTAGTGCAGAAAGTTCAATATTTATAACACAAGAGTACGGAAATTAAAGAAAACGTCATATTTCTCGTTATATCATAAAGGTATACTTTTTTCTTTGTTAAAATAAAAAGATGAATCATTTCTTTCAAAAATATGAATTACAACATTTTCACACAAAGACTTTTAAAGTTATTACCTGTTATGCATGTCGGAATTGTAAAAAATACGACAAAAAAAAACGGGGTGATACTTACATTGTGCTCCATTATTATTTTTCATGCAAGATGAAGTATAATGAATTTGCCTTCGTTTTAAAGATATAGATTAAAAACCTTTTTGATTTCGAATGTGATTTGACATTTTTGGTCCTTTTTTGCGCATATTTGAAGTAGAACGATAATGTCTGAAAATAATCTATTTGTAGCATTTCACATTGTTTTTGCACGTGCTCCTGTGTAAAAATAAGCATATAAAGGTATTGTTTTGGATACCTAAAAATTAAGAGCAAGCGGTCACTAAAGAAATGTCAAATTTTGAAAATTTCACACAATGACTTTTCGGATATAGGTCCCCTCTGAAGGCTTGAAATCATTTTATTCAGTATATTGCTATTTTGAACAAAATTGAAAGTAAAAGGCTTGTCCAAAAATTCATGAATAGGGACAAAATAAAGGTTCTCCATGCTGAACCATTTTTTTCTTATCGTTTTAAAAAGCAACATTTTATGATAATGAACTTCAAAATTTCATGAAAACACATGGAATGCATTTAAAAAGAAAATAATATAACACTATTTATAGAGGAAACATAAAAGTGCATATTGGCACAAAAAGAGCAAGCGTATTTTACGTTTCATGACATTATATAGACATTATTAATTACTGTTGTCAATGCTTTTCACTTGTCTCTGGAGCATCTCAAAAATTCATTTAAAGTAAGAATGACTTCTGATAATGGGAATAGGTTTTCATATACTGCAACAAAACCCTCCCCTTCGACAATATATACCTGAAAACTTGATATATAACTTAGGTTCTGTTTATTTTCACTGAAATAATATTAAGATGTTTTAAGATGTTTTAAATATTACTACAGAAACGGATGCAATTGGAATAGTTACGTGCGTATATTATTCCGGATTTTGTTCGTGCACCCGCAGGCTATATACATGTACTCCTCACCATAAATTCTCAAAAATATTATCATGAAAGATATATATTTAATGTCATTTGAAAGGAACATCGAACAAATTATGGCCATATAAAATTCTATTAGTATATTGGTTTAATGTTTGCAAAGCCATTAACATTTTCTACGACTTGGTTTGACAACCCTCGTACAGTATATTTATTTTTACGTCCTTTTTAAACCTTTTTTCAGTCATATTGAGATGCCACCATTTCCCAGGGAAGGGCTACAATTTTAGACTGATTGTTACCACTTCTAGCCTTTTGGCGATGAAGGTTCTTTCTTATGTATGCTACTACTGTGACATAGAAGCTTGGTTAATGCATATACGTCTCTTCAGTAAGAACAGTTTTCACGTCCCGCATTGGGACACGAACAATCTTCTTATTTTTAAGGGCAATTAAACTCTTTAATCACTGTGCCATGCGGAGACTATTTCAATCATGTTAATAAATGACAATTTCGAAACATTAAGTTGAATTGTTTATTGATTCAAGTCGTACAGTGTAACACTTTGTTCAATATACATATGTTCCGGCAAATTGGAATATATTGATATGATAAAAGTGTTCTGCAAAAAGGACATTGGGTAAAAAATATTGTTTGAAATTACATGTACTTGTAATTGAAATTACAATTTGAACATCAGAAATTACATTGGTTATGGCGATGAAGTACGCTATCCTGTCATATTAGTTTTAATCATTCCGTCTTCTGATTTCAGAATGGCTCAACAAATTAAGAAAATCGATATGATAAAAGACGTGTTAACTAACAGTAATAAATTCTAATAAAAAGATCTCTAACGAATTTTATTATTGAAAATATACATGTACCTTTAATAGTGAATTGTTTAATGGAACGTTTTCTAAATCTTTTCTTTAGAATGCAAGCCTGGATTTTTTGGTCCTAACTGCCTTGAATCTTGCCGCTATCCTAACTACGGGAAGGGTTGTCAGATGTTTTGTAACTGTGAAATGGAGAATTGTAGTTCCATCACAGGATGTGAAGGCATACAATTTCATTGATTTGATGCAAATATCCCTCAACATTTATTTCTTTATTATATATACAACGTAGCTAAACATTACTTATTTTCTGCTGATTCGATTTTCTTCAGATGTTCCTCTAACGTTCTCACGTGAGGTTCTGATTATTTCAAGCGTGTCTCATCCTGCATTCAGCTTATCTGATGAAGGTTACTGAATACAAAATTGAAATTGGAGAAACATTTACTTTCAAATCTTATAGATTCTTATTTAGTAAATGTATATCATTGTGTAAAAAAGATGATCATTTTTTGTTTCTTTAGAATGTCTACCGGGATATTTTGGAAGAAAATGCGAAATTCCTTGCCGGTATCCAGACTACGGTGTTCAATGTCAGTCAAAATGTGAATGAAGGAGACCTGAATATTGTGATCATATAAGAGGATGTTTAGGTAAACATTAACTTTCGTAACACAATAAACAGTTTTGATTTGTGTAATTTTGGGAGACAAAGACCCGCTCAAAAATATCAAAATGTTACCTGACCCTAGTAAATGTAATTATTAAATTTGTACAAAGAGTTTGTCTAAAGGAATTCCTCAAACTGTCTGTAAAATAGAAATTTATGGACTGTATCTTAAGACATTAATTCTCATAACGAATTAGTAAAATAATTAAATATGTACAGGATTCAGGTTCAAGGTTTCAAAATGGGTATTTTCTTTAAAGTTACACTGTAGGATTTGCATACAAAATGTGCATTAAAAAAAATAATGGAATAATGTTGGAAAATATATTCGAATAATACATTCATTCACTTCAAAAGCTTACTTTGCTTTTCTTTTTCCCTTTAGTAAAGATAGATAAATTCTGCACTGATCAGTTCAGGAAATACAAGAAAGTCTTGTTATCAGGAAATATTATCTACCAGGAAATAAATTATCTATTGAAAACTTATAAATCTTATCCTACTTGTATTAATACGTCATTATATGTAGCTCTCACAAAATTAATAATTTATATTAATCAAGAGCAAAGAAATGTAAATGGCTGTAAGTTGTCGAGTTCTATTCTGTACTCTGATTTGTACAGTGCGTGTTTTCAAGACATGTTTAACAAAAGAAATATTAACAAGGTATGTAATTTCAATTTCAGAAGAATTTAAAAAACAAATATCTTCTTATATTGCTCTCTCTCTCTCTCTCTCTGTCTCTCTCTCTCTCTCTCTCTCACTTTAAATAGTATAAATAATATATATTGTCATGATACATGTAACAAGTCTTTAAATTTAAGCACTGGAGAAGCATGCAAAGAGTGGAATCCAGCGGATAACAGGTGTTCAGGTAAGAGCACTATTCCCAATACCAAGTATTAATATTTAGTATATGTTACTTTTATTGCAGTTTTCTATCAAGGCTTGAAGTAATTCTCTTTAGTATATTACTATTTTGATCTGTATTGAAAGTACGAGGCTTTTCCCGAAAATTCGTGAATAAGGACAAAATATAGTTTTTCCATGCTAATTCATTCTTTTTTTGACGTAGTAAAAAGCAACATTATGATCATGAACTTCAAATTTCATCATAACACATGGAATGCATTTAATAAGAAAATTGTGTAGCAATGAAGGAAACATAAAAGTTTACATGGGCACAAAAAAGCAAGCGTATTTTACCTTTCATGACAGTATATTCATTATTATTATTAATTACTGTCGTTTATGCTTTTCATTTGTCTTTTGAGCATCTCAGTAATTCATTTAAAGTAAAAAATGACTTCTGATGGCAGAACTAGGTATTTCTTATACTGCGACAAAACCCTGTCTTATCTAGATGAAAACTTGACAAATTACTAAGGTTCTGGTTTCACTGAAATAATTTTTAATATGATGTTTTACATATTACTACAGAAACGGATGCCACTGGAACAGTTACATGCTTAAATCATTCCGGGTTTTGTTCATGCGTCCACAGACTATACAATCTTTTACATAACTTGTCAAAAAATGTTATCATAAAAGATATAATTATACTACTCAGAATTTACTATTTGAAAGGAACATCGAACAAAATATGGCCATATAAAACTTGACAAGAATATTGTTTTAATGTTTGCAAGGCTATAAACAATTAAACATTGTCTACGACATTGTTAGACACCCTTCGTATGTTTATTTTTAACAAACCTTTTGAACCTTTTGTCAGTCATACATGTATTGAGATGTCACCACTTGCCGGTGAAGGGCTACATGTACAAATGTAGACTTGTAGTTACCACTTCTAGCCTTTTGGTGATGAAGTTTCTTCCTTATGTTTGCTACTATTGCGACTATTGAATATTGGTTAATACGTCTCTTCAGAAGGACAGTATCCACGTCCCGCATTGGGACTTTAACCATCTCTCTATTGTTAAGGGCAATTAAACTCTTAAATCACAGTACCATGTGGAGTCTATTGCAGCCGTGTAAATAAAAACGACAAATTCGAAACATTAAGTTGAATTATTTATTTATTTAAGTCGTTACACTTTGATCAATATACATTATGTTCCGGCAAATAGGAATATATTGATGTGATGAAAGTGTTCTGCAAAAAGGACATTGGGTAAAAGTATTGCTTGAAACTACATGAACTTGTAATTCAAAGTATAATTTGAACATCAGAAGTTAATTACATTGGTTATGGTAATGAAGTCTGCAATCCAGTCATATTATTTTAAATCATTCCGTTTTCTGATCTCAGAATGGCGCAACAAATTAAGAAAAATCAAGATGATAAATGACGTGTTTAACTAACAGTCATAGATTTAATAAAGAAATATCTAACAAATTTTATTGTTGAAAAACATACCTTAAGTAGTGAATTGTTTTTTGAATGTTTTCAATATCCTTTCTTAAGAATGCAAGCCTGGATTTTTTGGTCCTAGCTGCCTTGAACCTTGTCGCTATCCTAACTACGGGAGGGGTTGTCAGATGTTTTGTAACTGTGAAATGGAGAATTGTAGTTCCATCACAGGATGTGAAGGCATATATTTTAATGATCCAATACAAATATCCTTCAACATTTATTTTGAATTATGCTTAACTAAACATTGCTTATTAAGTACTTATTTGATTTTTTTCAGATGGTTCTCTAACGGTCTCTCCTGAGGTTCTGATAATTTCAAACGTGTCTCATCCTGTATTAACATTCAGCATATCTGATGAAGGTTACTCTGAAATACACCATTGAAATATTTGGGTTTTTTTCCAAATCTTATTGATTCTTATTTAGTAAATGTATATCATTGTGTAAAAAAGATCATCATTTTTCTTTCTTTAGAATGTCTACCGGGATATTTTGGAAGAAAATGCGAAATTCCTTGCCGGTATCCAAACTACGGTGTTCAATGTCAGTCAAAATGTGAATGAAGGAGACCTGAATATTGTGATCATATAAGAGGATGTTTAGGTAAACATTAAGCTTTCGTAACACAATAAACAGTTTTAATTTAGTAATTTCGGGGGGACAAAAACCCACTCAAAACTATCAAAATGTTACCTGACCCTAATAAATGTGATTACTACATTCTAATAGTGATGCACCAAGAGTTAGGCTAAACGAATTCTACTTGAAATCCTGAAACTCCCTGTTATATAGAAATGAATGGATTTTATCTAAAGATATTTTTTAACTTTCATTAATAATTTCTCAAAAATATATTTAGATTCAAGGTTTCAAAATGAGTATTTTGTATGAAGCTAGACGTGGGACATACAAAATGTGCATTAGAAAATAAAGGTGGAACAATGTTGGAAAATATATAATAATTTTTAGTAAATCAAATACATGTGTATATTGAAAGTGATGAAATTTATTATGTGAAAAATAAATCAGAAGTGAAAGACGATTTTGCTAAATTAAACGATCAGTACATAATGGTTTCTGCTGACAAAGCGGGTAACAACGTTGTAGGTTTTTTTTTGTAAGGCCCATGACATGTATTTAAGTTCTATCTAAGAGGAACTGGGATTTAATTATAAAACTCACACCCATAGCTTTCATTCTAAGGGGGAGGTTCTTCAAAATCATAACAGTTTTGAATATTTTTGATATTGCCAACATCTGAAAGGAATCTGAATACCATAGCTTAATTGGATTCAAAACGGTATTTAAAAACCTTACAAAGTTTCAAATTGGAATCCAATAACTACAGATTTTCTCTCTTTATAGATTACTCTTCACGAAACTATTAATAGTCTTGAAGGAGAAACTTCGGGAGTACTTTAAAACAATTTATAAATATATCGGGAAAATACTTGATATCGCGATTACTTAACTTAGCGGAACTCTTTCGCGAAGGAGGTAGGAATCGTCTGTTGGGTGGGGGCAATGTGCTTTTCAATACAATGCAAGATCGATCATTGTAGTATTTATAAGGGCAGATAAGTAAAAAATCCTGGTGGAATACCTCGCTAAACAATCGCTGAACCAGCCTAATATATTTTTGAGAGGAGCCAATCCTAAATTGTCACATTTTTAACGATATTTTTAATTAAGCGGACTCTTCTCGTTCAATTTTCATTGAAAATCGTCACATTTTTAAGCAGATAAAATATTCTAAACTTTCCTTACTTGACAATCTACTATTTGGAGTTCAATATCTGGCAAAACATCGTGATTTCGGCATTAAATTGTTCGAATCATTCGATTGTCACTACTGTAAACAATGTCATTTGCCCCCAGAAATGTAGACTTTTCTCGACTCCCCCGTAAAAGAGCGGTAGTAAGTTAGATAACTGCGAGGTACTCATTGGTAGTCGCGATATAACGTATTGTATAAATCAGATGTGGATACTTCAAAATTCAAATAAGTGCTGGAAAATTTGAAATTACACAATTTTATCAAATCAAAAATTTAAAACTTTCTATCTTTCAACATTATATACAAGGAAATATATGGATACATCGAGCAGTATTCGAGGTCAGGTGACAAGGGTATATTGCCGCATAAACAAGGGAAGCTGAAGATCAAAAGGTGAAAATCATCACGTTTACGACATAGCCTTGTTGATTACTAGTTATAACCATTAACGTCTTTTTTTCTAAAATATTAAAATATAAGAAAGATGTGTCAAACTTTGTGGTATCCTTTATTTCAAGGTCGACGGGTTATATCGTTGCACATCTAAATGTCCAAATTCTGCTTCACAGGAATTAAAAATATTTCTATCAATAACGGTGCGCATTTGGTATCCATGGGAATTCCAACAAATTGTCGGAAGTCTCGGTTTCTTATAACCACACCCTCCAGTAGATGTTATCACTCAAAAATCAATCATCTTTTGAAATCAGCTATATTAAAAAGATTCTTGGGTTTCTGATAAACAATATCTATTTTGTTTTTAATCCAACAGCCAATTTTTATTATAAAATTTGATGATTTTAACATTTCAATCGTCAGCTACACCTACCTTTGCAGCAATGTACCTTCATACGGGGTTTATTTCTCACCGTTGACTTTATATGCAAGAGAATGTTCTACGTACATGTATGAAAACTTTATAAATGTGTTAAGTTATGGACATACAAATTGATGAAACAAAAATATCAACAGTCTCAATAAAAGTCATCATTTCCATCAGTCTTTTCAAGAATTGAATTATAATTAATTTTTGGATATTGCCATTCAAACAAAAGAAAGGAATCAATTGTTTTAATAAACAATTGTATTTTTTATCTGTACGAGTAAACATAGAACAGTTCTGAACTTTGAGGTCTCTCTTACTATAATTTGGGATTTAAATCTAAAACATACATTTTTATTAGTTGTATTTAATTATATCTTTTGTAGACTCAGAGAGAAAATGTAACCCTTCAGAAAACCAAGGAAGAAGAAGGGCGGCAAAGTTATATAGCATCATTGTTCTTTGTATTATAGCGGTCTTCCAATTTACGTTTTATATCTATCTTTCATTTTTATACAAAAGAAAACTGTTTCTGGATCGTCATCAAATGTAACAATATAAATCTATATAGCAGCTACAGATATAAATACATACCTTTTATGAAACCAAAAATGAAATTAGATATTTTGTTTCTTTAAATTTGTATGCCTTTCAATAGTTTGTTAACCCATTCCCCACAGTTACGCATTTTTACGCAATTACCATTTCCTATTTCTGACACAAAATCGTGCATATACCATTCCAAGCAATCATGCATTTTTCAAGCACTTTCAAGAGTAATTTTAATCTTCAATTGAATGCCTTTTTCCTTCTTTTTTATATTTGCTAAAATCTCATAATATAAGAAAAGTTATAAACTAATTAGAATAGTATTTTATATTTATTTACGCTTCTATCGCGCTTTAAAGTGTCTACTCGGAAAAGGTAAAGTTATACTTCGATGACGTGAACATTAAGCGAATGTTGTCTCAGAGTTCAGTAAGTTGTAAAGAGTTAAACGATAGAAGAATTTTTCTGCATGCAAACAGTTTGAATATATGTTTTTAGTGGAGCATGTGCACATATAAAAATCTGCTTATCAAGAATCAAGATATTCTCGCAATGTCCGAGGTCTTGAATCATAACGATACCCTGGAACCCCGACTTATTTTTATGAAATACTCGTAGCTTGTGGGCTGACATATTACGAAAAATTACAAATCTTGGTTGTTTTCTTTTCAACCATTCTCGAGAGTTACGTTAAACAACAAAGAAAACCTAAGGTTTGAAAAAATAGAAAAAGATAAAAATACACACAGATGTTTTTCGAGATGGTTTGGATATCAGTTTAGTGACGCAAACGAACATTGCAATAAAAAAAGTTACAAATTACTTTTAAACGCACATTTGTTGTATTGATTTTCATTAAATTGAAATGAAATTGAAATAAAATTGAAATGAAACATTGTATATTTTGTTGTTCCTAAAATTTGGAAAATGCATGTAGTTCCTACTGTTTATTCTAACGAGCAGTGACAAGGTTTCGGGAGTGTTAAAAATTATTGAGATTTGAACGTCGTGAATTTATAATAGATTTCATGAAGAAAATTACCCTGAATGTAAATATTATATTTCCCAGTGAATTTTTAAAACTTGTAAAATTCATAAGTGAATTTTCAAAATATCACAAAAAAGTGTTGTGCGCAGGACATTTTTAAAATCATTTTGGGTATGACTTTTTTGCAGATAGATATATCAATGAGATATTTTGCAGGTATGTAGACTTTATCAGTGATCATATGCTGAAATATATAACCCAGTATTGCCTGTATTTAGTGCAGATAAATAATTATGTGTTTCACCATTTTTTTTAAATTCACCTTTATCATGAATTTAATATGATTAAAATATAACTTCGTACCATACAATTAAAAATGTTTTTTTACCAGCAATGTTATAATTGCACCTTTAATTTTATTCTGCAATTACAGACAAGTAAAATGTCATCAATTTTGAATGCAATATATGAAGAAGTTTCAAAATCAATTGCATCACAGTTATTGATGTAATTTAACATCATTACATATCATCCACACTATTTACAAGAATGATATAATTGAATGCTTCACCCTTGCCACATATAAATTCGACAAATAAAACATATGATTCATGATCAAAAGTCCGTAAAACAATACAAAATAGGAGCAGAGCAAACACAGACCTCCAAACATCAAAGGTTGGATCAAGTGCCACCTCTCTCTTTGTACAAAAAATCTGCTGAAATATGGCCATGATTTTCAGCCCTAACTCAACAAGAGGCCCAGGTGCCACATCGCTCATACGAGCAACTGGCTAGATAAGAGCAAAAATTAGTACAGTATGTAAAAATCTAAATGCATTATAAAAGTGGGTTCTGTGGGGGGATATTTAAACAAACTTAAATTTACACTTCTTTAGAATGCTTTTAAATTAATGTGACACATGTTTTTGTTGTTTATAAGCTGAACAATTCTATTGATATTGCCTTTGTATTCCTTTGATATGATCAATTTTATTTCTCCTCTATTCTCCTATTAAGTCCAAATCTACATAACGATTTTATGCTTTTAAATCAATGATCAATCAAAATGCTGACTTTGTGAATGATTTTAAAGATTTTTCTTATGTAATCCTACATTAGACTTTGATACCCCATTGTCGCCCCACCCTACCCCCGGGGTCATAATTTGAACAAACTTTAATCTACACTGCCCAAAAAATGATGCTTCAATATAACTATGACCAATCATGACTTTGCTGTGCATGAGAAGAGTTTTCTTATGTTTTCTTTCGTTAAACTTTGATCCCTCATTGGCCCCCCCTCGACTGAGGATCATGAGTTAAACAAATTTGAATGTACACTTTCAGAGGATGCTTCCATTTAAGAAATGAATTTCATTGTTACAGATTCATGAGGTTATGAACTCTGACGCTTCACGCCGGCATATTTCATGAAGCGCGTTAGCGCTTCATGAAAAATATGCCGGCGTTCATATAACCTCATGAATCTGTAAAAATGAAATTCATTTCTTATATTTATATTATAACTTTCTTTTCAATCGAAACCCCCCTCTTTGTTATAAATAGTCGTAAGTTGATATTTTTGAAATTGATCCCGTGGTGAGCCCCAATCTGCGTCGTTTGAAAAATATAGTGCGGCTTAGTAATAGTAGTAATATACAATTATAACAAAACGAATGATAATTGATTTCAGAAATTTAATCAATAGATTATAAGAAACAATTGAGAAAAAGAATGTTCGACAACAATTGGATTTTACACAAAAAAAATGTTTCCGGAATGCGCATATGTAAATATTACCATGTCAGTGATCAGGTCGTAAGCATGGCCGGTTATTTTGAAACAAATTGGAATGTGCAGCCGTGAAATGTCGAATGTGTCATAATGCCTTGGGTTTGTACTGTTTCGGTAACCGACGAGCTAGAGTGTTGGATATTTATCATCATTTTGTTAGTATTTTCCACCTGCAGAATTCCACATGGCGGGGATACAAGGTCGGAGGAACGAGGTGCTGACATCGGAACGGAGCTAACGTCAAGGACTTGCTCATTCTTTGATGTCTCTTGTCGTGGTAAGTTTTCATCAGTCATTTTGGAAATTGTGGCACTGAGGGCTTTTTTTTTTTTTGCTGCGTTGAACAGTGTCTATTGTACGATCTGATGGATGATTCGTTTCTGTGCCCTGACATGAACATAATGTGCCTTGTTTCATGACCAGCGTTGTTCATGTGTTGCATCGCAGTTGCTCTCAAACAATGTGGTGTATAGATTTTGCTGGTTTGGGCAAGTTTACAAATTTCGGACATAAAGTTGGTTAATGTTCTTTTCGTCAGGGGTTTGTTTACAAACCAAATGGATGTAATGGATGGAAATTCAAAAACAGCTTTGTTGTATTGGTTAAAAAGGTGAGTTGCAGTGTCATCCGTTTTGTTAATCAACAGCTTCAACATTTTTATAGGGCATGTTTCTGATCCTGTCGTGTACATACGTTTGTCGCTTGGAGCTTCCTCTGTACCCAAACCACCTTGGAAGTTTTTTTGTTTTACTTCATGGTTTAGAACTGCATACTCGCCAAAGTTATCATTTTTGAAGGTGAATGATTTAATTTTCAATTGATGGTGAAACTCGATTCCTCTAGTAACAAAGTGTGTGGCGAGGTTGAACCAAACACATTGTTTTAGGATGATGAGGTTTGCTTCAGCATTTTTAAAATAAATTGCAATTAATTTCAAATCATCATCGATTATGATTTCTTTGTGGGCAGTTGGGCGAGAGAGACCCTCTTGCATTCGTTGCTTTAAAAGGCCATTTAGAATTTTATTTGAAACTTTAAATTCACTGGCATTAACGATGTCGAGGTTTCTCCCCAAGTCCTGGAGATGACGGTTGAGGGCTGCACGTATATTCTTTAGAGTGTTTTTATGGTATTCTCCTGCAAGTTCTGATGGAAGGGAGTTTTGTCTAGCATTTGTTTGTTTTGGTTTAGCTTCGCAATAAAACTTTGTCAGTAAAGAAGCCAATTCATCAGCATTTATGGACATGAAATCTACTATGTGACCCTGCGACTCCACACACCACTCTGAAAAGAGGAAAGCAAGGCTGAAATCTAGGTTTCTTTGCATGTCAGTCAGATTTTCTACTGATTGTTCTGTTATTTTAAAACACCAGGGATAATTTTGACTGAATATTATTTTTATGCAAAGAATCATTATCAACTATATCTGCAAGAAATTTGTAAACAAAAGTGAAAACTCATATCTTGGAAGATTTTTATGCCCCATTTGGTATTTTTTCTGGTGTTTTTCGACTGGTTGCTCTCATAATATTTTAAGAGTTCTTCATTTGAAACATTTCCAAATCTTGTTTTCTGAGGATTTATCTGTTTGTGGTCTAAAGTTGACTGCAGATTCCCTTCTTCATCAAGCTTCAATTTATCATTCATTTCCTGTGTGTTTTCAATAAATGATACTCCAATGTTTGGCATAGTTAAATCATTTAAAAGGAGATCAAGGTCATCATCAAACAGAAAATCCATATTTTGAAGTTCAGGATAAAGTTCATCAATTGTTGGCATTTCAAAATTGCCTTTTTTAGCATCTGATTCATCAGCAGAAGCCATTTCTTTGATGTTGGGATCAAAGCAGACGATAATATGTATCATATGTATTTTTTTATTATTATTATCTATTGTACCAGGAATAAAAACTATTTCATGAAATAACTTATTTTTATTTTCAAGAAGGGTTGTTTTCTTTTTTAAAAAAAATATTTATTTATGTCAATATTTATCGGGAAACACCACTTTGTAGTTATATTTACTCCATTTGGAATTTCCCTTAAAAGTAGTTCCGTATTCATGCGCCGCTACTTTGCATGCAAGAAATATTCAAGCGCCTTTTGCAAGTTCATGAGAAAATGAACAAAATTTTAATTTGTAAGGAATATTACAGACAAAACAATGGAAATGTAAATATATAACTATGACCAACCACGCCTTTGCTGTTCTTGAAAAAAATCCTAAACAGGACTATAAATCACGCCTAACTAAATCTAGAAATATTTCATCTTTCTGTTTCAAAATAAAGTAGGTTGGAAAAACTCTTTTGATAGTAGTTTTCTAGCAAAATATATATACGTTTTTATGAAGATCTGCGAGAAGAGTTATCTCCCGTGGCTTCGATAAATCTGCTAAACACCTTACTATCGGAATACTTGTGAAATATCTCGAATGCATAACGCTAAAGAATATTATTACATAAAAAAAATTAAAATTGTTTCTGTAATTCATGTTGAATCCACGTTTCCATGGATGTATCATTGACGTCAAATACCTAAGTAACTACATGTAAAATTGCGTCACAATCAAATAGTTACAAATACTCCAGAGAAGTTTGTAAATTCTTTGTGTAAAAGTGTAAAGTAAAAGATTTTTAAAATGAATTATTCCTTTTTTTCTGTTTAACTATTCTCCTGAATGAATTACCCTAAATTTTAAATAGTATTTCATTTCAAGATGTATTTTATTCACGGTCTGTATTGATAAGTAGTTTAATAGTCTGAGGACTAATTTTTTTCTGATTTACAAGCATTTGGGTGATAATAATTATTTTAGTGTTTTAATGTGATTTCTTATAACATTGGGATGTTGGATAAGGTAAGATTGTTTCTTCTGAACTGGGGAGGGGGGGGGGGCAGAAAAATTATTAATTCCTTGGAGAAAAATACATATCCTAAAATCACTCAAAATGGGGGGGGGGTTTCTTTCTCACATTATATATTCCTAGAAGGAATTCTTAATTTTATGTAATGGCATATCTATTTCTAGTAGTTCTGCAATCATGAAATTATAAAGTTAG